TAGATCAATTTAATAATTCTTTATTGTCATATAAGTAAGACACGATACTTGTGACACATACAAATAATAACAACAACAAAAAATAAAATAATTTGAATACATATATATATATATATGCGTCTAAGCAAGTGACAACTCTTACGACAGATCCATGCATTGGATCACTAGTGAAGGTGATACACGACTGAAAACACATATTATATTCATAATTACTCTAAATATCAGCACAAAAATGTTAAATCTGCAAATATATATACAAGCAAAAATAACTAAGAGTCCCCTGTCCTCAGCTCTAAAGACTGTTTTATAAAGGAACCGTTTTTTTTTTCTCACTTGGTTTATATTTGAAGGAATAAGCAGGACTACTAGTTTTTCAGTAATCGACAGATTTAGAAATATCAGATTATCTATTGCGATGCCATTAAAAAGTTTAATACGTAATATTTTATTATTTTGACAGTAGAGGAGAAAGTGGTTTTCATCTACTATATATATGGTTTTACAAGTTAGACATGTTCTTTGGTTTCGAGGTATATTCAGATATCTGCCCTTTTCTATGATATTTTGTATGAAATTGCATTACTACCAGCTCATGTCAGTTTGACGACTATTTCGAGGCCCTGCCCCTAGGTCATTGTCCAGCCACATTCAATTATAAGCATTTTTACTGTTAAGCTTTCTGCTTAATACCCCCATCACACTAGGACCACGATCCCGCTACAACCTCAGAAATTATGAAAAAATTTGGAAGTCGTAGTAAGATCGTAGTGGTCAGGACGTGCCAAGGTCTTCATGATCGTGGAAGTCCACGACCAACTTTGAACATACTCAATACATTCATAGTGCAGTCGTGGCCAAAACTAGTTGTAGTAGAACCGTAGGAAGGTCGTAGTAAGGACGTAGTAAGATCGGGATGGGCGTAGAAGCATCGTATTGGAAATCGTGGTGCAATAGGGAGGCCAATGGAAAAGATTTCGCTGCGACCTTGCTACGATTTCACTGCGACTATTTCGATTTCACTACGTCTTTATTACGCATATACTACGATATTGATACGATTATACTACGATGAGGAAGAAAACAGTACAGTTGCTACTACCCGCTTTCCGTCCTTAGTACGACGTACCTAACTACGATACTACTACGGCGTAGATACGATAATTGCACAACCTCATTCTGTTGATATAAAAAAACTGATACAATAACTTCTACCTGTAGTTCAACCAGGGACACACATGAGCAAAACATACTTCTGCAATCTTTAATTCAGCTACACTGTATCGATTTGGCTGATCAGGCTACACTTTTAGTTAAAAGAAGGAGCAGACATACTAGACAGTGTAGGTCCTGTTGGGTGCGCTCTTGGCTTTCTGTTGAAAGAAGACTCCAAGTTTGGGCATTACGACCGACTTGTGAAAGAACTAGATATCATTGAGATGGGAGCCATCTCTGTGGGCCCCGCTGTGAATAATGTGTGGTAAAAAATTTGTATCTTTATCATTGGACATGGGGTTGTCAAATGAAACCCAAGTTTTTGACCTTGATCTTTGACCTAGGAAGTTGTACATAAATTATGACACACCTTCTGGTGTTGGTTTATATACATATCAAGTATAAACTTTGAAATCATAACGGTTCTCAAGATATAGAGCGGACACGATCTTTACTATAGGACATGGGGTTGTCAACTAAAACCAAAGTTTTTGACCTTAACCTTTGACCTAGGAAGTTGAACATATATTATGATACACCCTATGGTGTTGGTTAATATACATGTCAAGTATAAACTTTGAAATCATAACGGTTCTCTAGATATATAGCGGACACGATTTGTTACGGACGGATGGACGGACGGACGGACAGACGGACGGACGGACGGATAGACGGACAGACGGACGGACGGACGGACGGACGGACGGACGGACAGACGGACGGACAGACTGATCACTATAGGGCGGTCGCCATTCGGCGGGGCCCTAATTAAGGATGGAGGAGTTTAGTTAGTTTGATATGAACTATACTTGTGATAGATCATTGATATTTTGTATAAAGTTACATTACTATCAGTACATATCAGTTTGAGGCCATGCCCACTAAAACGTGGTGCAGTGACTGAATTAATTAGCAATTTTCAATGTTAAATTTTCTGTTAAAGTTAGATTAATAGGAACTACTCACAATAGACAACGATATTTTGTATAAAGTTACATTACTGTCTGTACGTCTCAGTTTGTTGACCATTTTCAGGCCCTGTCCACTAGATCATGGTCCAGCGAATTAATAAGCACTGTTGCTGTCCATTAGATTTTCTTTTCTGAATTTTATGCCGACAGGCGAGACATATCTCTGTGTCAACAGTTTATTTTTATATAAGTGTTAAAATTGAAAATGCAGGCTTATAAACACGATTTTCTTTTTAGTTGTTATTGGGTTTGAACTACAGCTTTCAATAACTGCGAGTACTCTCAGATCTGTACTTTGTGTCTTTTGTTTTTTAGTTAGTTGTTTAACCTGCGTCGCCGAAGCAGATATAGTAACACTCGACTCCGTCCGTCCGAAAGAAAACTTTCGTCAAAGTTTTTCTTGGCTTCTTTGAAAGAGAATGATTTTATATTTGGTCTGCAGCTTGATTATGATGAGTTGTAGCGAGTAAGCAATTTTTTCATCTGCCGTATAGACAATTCTTGTTTATCGAGAGTTTGAAATTTGACAACACTCATGGCACAAGAATCTTGGCTTCTATGAAAGGAATGATTTAATATGTGGTCTGCAGCATGATAATATTGCGTTGTAGTGAGTAAGCAATTTTAACATCTGCCGTGTAGCCACTTCCTGTTTTCCGATAGTTTGAAATTTTACAACACTCATTGTACAAGGAAAAAAATCTTGGCTCCTATTGCAGTGAATGATTTTAATATTTGGTCTGGGAATTATCAGTTATGCTCCGGTATACATGCTACCCCAATCAACTGAATGCAGCGACGCAGGCCCAGACCCGGTATTGGTCTTCTTTCGGTTTGTATCGATCTGATGAGTTAAGCCCTTTTCACGTATGTGTGTGTGTTTGTGTTTTAAATAAAAAAGTGTTTGCCCTTGTATAAAATGTTCCTATTTTGTGCTGTAACACCACTGTCCCAGGTGAGAATTCGCTTTAGCCTTTGGTGAGTTTAATATTATTATCAAAATTAGATAACGAGAGTAAATATTTTTCACGAGTTGCTAAACCTGTTTGTCTTATGGTAAATTAAGGCGACAGCAGTTTCCCGATGTTCAAATCTCGTTAATCGATTAAGAAGAGACATATCAAGGTAACAAAAAAAAACTGGGAGAATCGTTTATCTTTTTTGTCCTGATGAAATGTTTTCGATTTGGAAGTCCGCTTAGGGCATTACAAATATTGTGTCATAACCAGACAACTGGCATGCATCAGACGTTTTCAAGCTTTTCGTACGTTTACAGAATGAAATCAAAGTCAAAAAGAATATTTTCATATGAAACATGTCAATGTATGTTATTATATCGTTAAATAAATTTCAAATCTACGTTGTCAAGTGGAATTGTGACTGTCCTCATTAACCTATCGAATAGCAAGTGGAAATGTCGCAATTTCGTTACATATTGCAGGAGATGCAACCAAATTACAGCATTTTTCGTATCATTTATTCATTAATAGATAACAAACGGATGACGATACCAGATATAAAATTTTGTACGCAAGACGTGCGTTTCGGCTTCAAAAGACTCATCAGTTACGCTCGAATCCAAAAAGATTAAAAGACCAAATCAAGTACGAAATTGAAGAGCATTGAGGACCCGAAAATTCTGAAAGGTTTTTCCGAATACAGCTAAGGTAGTCTTTACCTTGTGTAGAAAATCCTTATTTGTTCGAACAATTCAAAAGTTTGTAAACAGCAAATGTATAAAAAATGACCATATCAATGATATGTCATGTTACCACATACTTGCTGAATCCATCGCTCACCGAACAACCTTACAAACTTATTTTTTTATCAACAAAGAACATATTGAAGTAGTTTAGCGGTAAATACATTGTCTGAATCACGTGACAATTGACAACAGGTAAAACCAAAAAAATATAATAATACACAATAATCCATCTAAGTAATCACAAATTTTCATAAAATGTTAAGCATTTGAAGCGGAAAACGTCTTCATGGAATAAACATATTAAGAATCAAGTTTAATGGTGTCTAAAACCACAATAGCTTTGATCTTACAAACAAAGCTAAAAAAATAATCCCAGGTTCTATTAGGTACTACATGTTTTATAAGACAAAAACATCCTCTTTTCCCCAAATGTGACCTCTCGAATTAGGCTTATCACCGGGATTTCACTTACATAAGCAACACGACGGGTGCCACATGTGGAGCAGGATCTGCATAACCTTTCGGAGCACCTGAGATCACCCCTAGTTTTGTTTTAAAGGGGTTCGTGTTGCTCTTGCTTTAGTTTTAAGTGTTGTTTTCATTGTACTTTTTAATTTTTCTATGTCTGTGGTGTTTATACCGGTATACATATCAAGTTTCAGGGTTAGAAAATTTACAATACCGATGGTTTAGGAATTTGATGAAGTCTTAGGGTTAGATAAGAGTCGATTACCCAAACGCTATTGTGTAAAACCTTATCACTTGATATAGCTTATCAACGTATTTTATAGGAGTAACATGACGGATGTCAAATGTGGTGTAGGATCTTCTTACCATTCCAGAGCACCTGAAATCACTCTCGGTTTATTATGGATGGGGTTGGGGGAGGGGTCATGTTGCTCAGTCTTTGGTTTTATACGTTGTGTTTTGTATACTGTTGTATGTCTTTAGGTCGTTTTCCGGTTTTTGACATGACACTGTCAGTTTTTTTCCCCCGAGTAATGAGTTTGAATGTCCCTTTGGTATTTTTTGGATCTCTCCCAATTAAAGTAAGAAACAAGTAACATACGGATGACTGGAAAGCCAAATAAAAAAATATAGACAAACAGACAAAAAGATAAATTTTCATTATTCACTTCCTTCAAACCATAATTCAAATAACACATTTGAACATAACAAAAAAACATACATTTGTCATTTGTCATTTGTCAGAATCACTAAATTGTATGCATCACAAAACAATATACAAATTACAGACATTGTAAGAACCACTCTTTAGATTTATGAGAAACTTACTTTATAATTTTTCTCAGAATCAGTCCAACTATTAAAATTTGGACAATAGTACATGTATCTCGTAAATTGGTATATAACTAATCATCATTATGACATGATTTTAGTGTTTAATTTTTTCGTAACATACTGTGCATACATATACTTTCATATACATTCACGTCTTCATATCTTCCTGTCACAATTTCGCTCCACCACCTCTAAATTTATTCAATGCGCATCTAAACTACTTTGTCATATTCATATTCATCTGAGTATATGTTTTATTAACAAACTGATACTTGAACAGATAACAAGTACGCAATTTAAATTGAATACATCTTGGCATCCGTTTAACTTAAATAGCGTAAAATAATACCATTCTAACACACTAATATCATGTTTACTGAAGCTATCGTTAAATCACGAGACATTTTACATTCATTCATAAATAAGAAACAATTTATTCAAGGGCAAGTACCTTTTTTACTATATATATATAAAACAAGTGTGGACACAGATGAATGTGGATAGTATGTTTGGATGTTTGACAGTGTTTTATATGACAAAAGGAGTTCTATGTTTTTCCTATATGGTGTTATTAACTGTGTTGCACGATGACAACCAACCTGAGCATGAGGAGTGTTGTTTATTTAATATTTAGATTTTATGTTCAAGAGGGCATGGAAGAGACACTAATTGCATTAATGACCAAATGATTATGATAGAATATTTTCCACATCTTTGATTTTGGATAAATTTTGTAGCTAGGAGAGCAACACATAATAGGTTCCTTTTTTCATGTGATTTTTTTTTAAATGGGAGATGATATCTGAGAACATGATATCAGGAGGTTGTAATTCAGTGGTTGTCTTTTGTCTATTTGTTACATAATATTTGTTTTTCGTTTATTTTGTGTACATAAATAACATAAATGACTATGCGTTATGGGCTTTGCTCATTGTTGAAGGCTGTACGGTGACCCTTAGTTGTTAATTTCTGTGTCATTTTGGTCTGTTGTGGAGAATTGTCTCATTGGCAATCATACCACATCTTTTTTATATGTATTTGCTCACTATTTGTATGGTTCTATTTATATTACTTTGTGGTGGATTGTCAGTATCATTAGTAAAATATTTTGTTAAAATGTCGTTATTGTTTCTCAGATTAGAAGACATTTATTGGTTTTTAGTAATGAAAATGCCTGACATGATGCTTGGGGCTAGATGAGCTAGAAAGTAAACTTCTGTGTTGTTTTTTATCAATTCTTTGATAACATCTCCTCCAAAGCTGGCCGAAGCAAAAAAAAGTTTTGCCCAATATGAAAACAATATCAACAAAAAAACCTTTGTGAGCATGCTTCAAAGACTAATAACTGCTCCAAAAGTAATCTGATAGAATTTCAAGCATGTCAAGAGGGTATTATGAAAATCTACTTAATATGTCTAAATATCAAAAAAGTTATAGTATTCAATATGAAAAAGGTATTGCAAAATTATTCTCTTTTCAATTTTTTTTGTTATATGGATACAAATATAAGTGATACCAATACAGTATTTGTTGTGGTATGAAAGTGTAGTAATTAACATTTACTGTAAAAATGTTAATTCACACAAATTAAGAAATAAACAAATGAATGAAAAATGTTGAACATGTACAATGAAATATAGTTTTAGAAATCAATAAGGTCAGATAGGCCTTATAATTTTTTTTTTTTTTTTTTTAACATACTGAATGACCATTTACACTCAGGACCGAGTCATCAGTAGGCAGTACAGATGTATTAAAACAACCTAGCATCATATTGCTAGTAGCGAGTGTAGCATTGTCAGGTAAATTTGTTCTTTTTTTAAAATTTGGTTAAAGGACAAAAAATGTTTGGTTCAAATCATAATAAAATGCTTTTATCTCCTTATTACTTACATTGTATATAGAATGGATACTACCCTGACAAATCCTTGTACATGAGAGTTGTCTGTCAAATCTTCATTTCACAAAGAATGAATTGCATAACAATGAACTGAGCTCAAAGCAAAGCACTTTAATAATACACTTAGACAAAGAGCTCAATCCAGTGATATACTTTGTACTACAGGTCCTTCATGAACATCCTATCTACCAAAACCATATCTCACAAACATGCCATACTACATGTACATGGTTCGATCAGAAGTCCTGAAAAAGATATGCATTTTATTATCATATTTTAATTATACATACACAGGTTAAAAGTTATATACTCCAATGGCAGTCTTTCCTGCTAAAATGTCATGTGTAGAATGTGATATACCATTTTTGGGTCTATATGGGTACTGTCCTTTATATTCATTAGGTCATTTTGACACAACAAAATATAAAGAAAATGTTAACTTTGATCTGGAAATTGAGTTCTTTTTCGCAAAATAAACCCACGAAAACTAAACTTTGAATGCAAAAGACCCCTAAATGGCTAACAGATATTGCTATAAAGAATAGTCCATGATGATTATTGTTATTAAAGAGTTCATGAAATGTACACTCGTCTGATTCTGTCAGTGGAATGGACTAGAATGAGATAAGTTATATAAACATAAAGGTTTTTTCAACAGTTGTGGTGTAAATTAAATCAGTTTTATTTTATGGTTGACATATTTAAGTATATATGTAGACCATTTGCTTTTCAACACATTGATATTTTACAATATCGATTATCTATTTATTGTTATATTGTTGGTATTTTTCACCTTCCTAAAACAGTTTTAACGCAACATGAACACAAGCTTAATAGATCTTGATAGGGTGTCCTCACATATTTTGACGTTGCTGAAAAATTTTGGTTGACATATGTATCCTCTTCTCATCGTTTTTCGTGCTATTAAGAATGCATACTGTCGTCACAATTTCCATTGAAAAGGCATGCATAGTACAAATTCATATGACGAACGAAAACATATGATCTGACCATATAAATGTACATGTACAAATGTATGTATAGGTTATCAGCTTTTCTACACATATTAGCCAGTAAGCCGCAATGAACCCATTATGGCGAGTGAGCGCAGCTAATGAGCTAAAATGAATCAAATTGTGTCCTCAGTGGGGGATATTTTAAGGGATCTATATGAAGAAAACCTGATCATCTGTTTATCGTTCTATTACTGGCTTTTTCACCTCCCTAACTTGGCCTAAGACAGTTTTTACAGACGAAAGCAAGCTTGATAACTACTCCTCACACACATGTATAGATTATCGGCTTTTCTACACGAGTCATGAATATCGTAAAATGTTAGCCAGTGAGCAGGCCCGCAATGAACCTTTTTAGCGAGTGAGCCCAGCTTATGAGCTAAAATGAATCAAATTGTGTACTCAGTCACAGTTGGTGATATTTTAAGGTATCTACACAAGGAAAACCTGCTTATATAAATCTCAGTGGCGGATCCACAACTTTTCATAAAAGGGGGGTGGCCGCTGACTGACCTAAGGGTTGCCCCCTCCCGTCATGCTTCCCCAGTGGCGGATCCGGGGGGACGGTTCCGAGGGTTGGAACCCCCCCTTTTTTGGACGATCAATGCATTTGAATGGGGACACATAGTTGGAACACCCCCCACCCTTTGTCCCGAGTTGGGAACCCCCCCTTTTATAAAAAGGCTGGATCCGCCCCTGCTTCCCTATAAAATCAACCAAATTTTCCCCACCCCCTGGATCCGTCTATGTAACTGTTTATCGTTCTGCGTAATACTGGCTTTTTCACCTCCCTTACTTGGCCCTAGACAGTTGCTTATCTGTTTATCGTTCTGTCACTGGCTTTTTTTAGACTAGAGACTTCATGTGTACAAACCTGACGTCAAACTCGTGTACTATAAAAGAAGAGACAAATAATTTCACATTAAATCCTGACTGTAACATTACATCTAAAGATAATTACAATCCAAAGTAAATTATATTACGATGTCAATGGACTAAATTCCCGCGCAAATGTCATCACTGGGATAGACCAAAACGAATTTTAGGTTTATGTATCATTCACATTCCGATCAATTTACTCAGTTAAATAAAATATATGTGTTAACTATTTTTATATTGGCTTTGAATTTAGTTAATCTATCAGAAAAAAGGATTTATTTCTCGCAGATAGCCCTCAATACTATACACCAACTCGACACTAAAGCAATAAAACCCTAAAACATAATAGTATATGGAATCGTCCAAACGGATTACCTAATATTGATATAGGTGAAATATGTAGATTCAGAATTGTGTACACAGAAATAAGATCAGAAATAAAGCCCTATGTAAGGTGAAAACAATAACACAACTGTATAAAATCATTGTTTATTAAATTTGCTTGCAGAAGAACCATGAAGTTAAAATTTATAACGACTACGTTTATCCTGTCAACCCCTTTTCTTCATTGCATCAAGGCTTCCGTTGCTTTACATCGAGCAGCAATTCAACCAATCGGGGAATGTTAAGTTGGGACATACCTCTATTTTTGGAAGCGTGATCTTTACATCGAGGCTTGTGTTGCTTTACACCGAGGTCACAGTAGTTCGACCAATCGGGGAATGTTTATTTGGGGCATGTGACCTATTGAACTGCAGGTTTTATAATATTTTAATCGAAATTGTAGAAAAATGAAATGTTGTTAGTACATACAAAACAGAAAATGATGAATACTTTTAGTAAAAGATAAATTGGATCCGGGTTCTGTGTATTCACATCATTTGTACAACTCTCCTTACTGATGCCATTTTTTGGAATTTCTGTGACCTAAATGGTTCGCGAAAATTAATATTTTATTATATATATAGTAAATATTAATTTTCGCGAACCATTTAGGTCACGGAAATTCCATTTTTTGCCATCAGTAAGGAGAGTTGTACAAATAATTTGAATACACAGAACCCCGATCCAATTCATCTTTTGCTAAAAATATTTATCATTTTCTGTTTTATATCTCCTCACATCATTCCATTTTTCTCTAATTTCGATTAAAATATGCCAAAACCTGCAGTAAAAATAGATGTATGCCCCAAATAAACATTCCCCGATTGGTTGAACTACTATGGCGTCGATGTAATGCAACGAAAGCCTCGATGTAAAGCAACGCAAGCCTCGATGTAAAGCACACGCTTCCCAAGAGTAAGGAGAGTTGTACAAATAATGTGAATTCACAGACCCCCGATCCAATTTATCTTTTGCTAAAAGTGTTCATCATTTTTTGTTCTGTATCTACCAACAACATTCCAATTTTCTATAATCCCGATTTAAACATGTCGAAACCTGCAGTAAAAATAGATGTATGCCCCAAGTAAACATTCCCCGATTGGTTGAAAAGCTGTGGCCTTGATCTAAAGCAACGCAAGTACACGCAAAAATTTCCGTTGAAATGTTGAACTTCGACCCCGAGCCGATTCACATAGAGATTTTCTTGCGCTCAAATGTAATTCTAAGTGAAATATACTGGTAAAGTAAAATTATGTTCTTTTACAGAAATATTTA